AGAAAGTAAGAGAATAAAGAGTCATTAAAAGTTATTTAAACCTTGCATATATATTAATGATAATTATTTATATTCTTTTAAAGCTGCAGTTAGACATTTTAGATAATTATAATCGAATTGCAAGATGTGGAGGTTTTTCTAAGAAGTAGCTTGAAACATAAACTTGACCTTTTGCAAATATTGTTTCATCGATACTAGTAGTAATATGTAGGAGAGTTAATCCTTGAACCTTGTGAGTTGTAAAAGCAAAAGCATTTTGGAGAAGAAATTGTTGTCAAGAGGCTGGTTTTCTATCGATTGTGAAGTAAGATGTTTCTTTTTGGATAGTAACTTTGGTTACACCTTCATAAGTTAGAAATATAACTTTGATATTGTTGTTATCTATTAGCTTAGTTATAAGTCTAATCGTATTATTGCAGATTCCATCATCGAATAGTTTATTTAAAAATATAACTTGAGCTCCTTCTTGTAAATGTAAAGATTGTAGTAAGTTTGTCATGTATTTAAATTGTAATATTGAATGGTCAGTACTTAAAATTTCAGGGTTTAGGATATCTTTTGATTTAGAGATAATAGGTTTACCACAAGTATGATCTAATAGTAAATTGGAACATAATAATTTGTTTATATCGTCTGCTATTTGACAAGTCAGGACTATGTGAGTTGTGTCAAAAAACTTAGAGGGAGAGATATTAGAATCTATTTTAGATTCAATAATGGATTTACTTAGACTTGATAATTTTCCAACGTATATTTCTTGTAAAATATTATAGAATTCTAGATCATTGCGTTGTCTTTGTAAAGTAGTAAGGAATAGGGTGAAAAATCTTTGCCAAGCAGGAGAACAAAAGACAGAGAGAGAATATACCAGAGGGAGTTGGGCTAGGTCTTTAATGACTAACGTTGGTATATCTCTAAAAATTAAATTATTATTGTGGAGTTTGGCAAACATATTACTAATAAAAGTGAATAGTTTAGCATCAATCATCGATACTTCGTCAAATACAAGTACTTCAATTTTTTTCAATCTTGCTTCATTTTCAGAGTCAGAGTGAATTAGAGTTTGATAGTGGCTATCTCTAAAGTGTATTTTCAGTGAGGAATAGATTGTCTTGCCTTCTATATTTTGAGCCACAACTCCTATGGATGCTATTATGAGATATGATTTGTGTTTTGACAAGAGATACAGGATTAGTTGGTATAGTATGAAAGTTTTACCGGTTCTTACTGAATCAGTTAGGAAGAAATAATAATATTTTTCATTAGTCATTTTTCTCCAAACATTGCATAATATATTATAATTTTCATATTGTTTTGTATCTAGATTTAAAAACAAATGAATATCAGGATGAGATAAGTGTTTTTCTAAAGAAACGAATTGATTAAACAGTAGAGTAGATAGATCCTGATTTTGGATTTCGCTTAATAGAAAGCTTATTAAGGTATTATAAATATTTGATAAGATACTTCTTTGCGAAATATAACCTTGATTAAATGACTCAATCGCTTGTACATATCTTATAAGGAAAACAGAACGGAAGTAATCTCTGTAAGTACGATATTTTCCTAATAGTTCTTGTTCAGTTTGCGTGGTAAATTTCATAAGGAGATACTGGAAGAAAATAGTTCGCCATCTTCTATTTTGTAGTTGGTGAATCTTAATAGTATAGAAGTCCTTCTTTTTACAACTATTCTATTTTTTCTATCCCACATATAAAATAATCTTGAAGTTTAACTAGGCAGTTTAGATCTGAAAGTGTAGTTTTGAAAATATGTAGGGTAAGTTATTTTATAAAAGCATACATGATCAGGCCGATTAAAATATTTGTTAATAGCATCATCCCAATACGAGCTTCATCATTAGGTTCATCATCGATACCATTGTTATTTCTATTTTGTAATAAATAAATTGGTTTAATGAATCTAATTCTAAGTTTAGAAGAAGCAGAAGGGAGGTAATGTACTGAAACGGAACATCTCATTAAAGGGTATTGTAGGAGTAGTATTATTAGTTCCATAGTACCTAATCTGCAAGCCATTATATGTTTTCTGTAATTGTCAGTTTTATTAATGTCAAATAATTCTGACAGTTCAGATTTGGTGATATATTTGGTTATATACTTAGCAAAGCTAGTTGAGGTAACATACTGGAAGTTAATATGGCCTTGCTATATTAACAAAGTCTCAGGATTATATGAAACTACTATCCTGTTCTCTTCTTTTGTATGATGGTATATATAGTATAATAAAATCAGTAAATAATAAGTTTTTTCAGATAAAGGTTGTAGAAAACCTTTTAAGCACGGTTGTTTATTTTATCTTTGACTACCGCATCAGTGGTCACAATGGTATATTTAAAATGTTAATACCAAGTTATATAGTTTAGGCTCAGTTACGGGATTAGGGATATTAGCACAGATTTTATTTAGAGATATTAATTCGGGAGTTTTAATTTCTGTATACGCAAAACTATGAGTATGTATAGTTCCACGATTTTGAAATTCATCTTATTCAAAAAAGTATTCCCATTTACACCATCTAGATAAGGATAGATTTTTCCAAAGCTTGTTACGAATATTGGTAAAATAGTTACGATAAAATAAGTAAGTATGCAATGGTCGGTTAGTGGGCAATATATCCCATTATCAGAAGATATTAATATTTTATATAAATGAGGCTATTTGTCTTTGGCCATAGTCATGGTATAGAAAATCTGGGGTAATCCATATGAACTTATCATCGTATTGACTTGGTATTGTTTTTGTTGAAAAAAAAGGGCTACCATTTTAAAAAATATTAGGATTGTAGTTGTTATAGATTCATTTAATATAGTTTGATCTTGATATGAGCTTCTAGCAATCAGATCAGCTATTGTTAGGTAGGAATCGCGATTGATATTTCTAGTGGCTAATATATGATTTTGGTTTTGAAAATTTCTTTTTTTTTTTAAATTTAAGTATAATCAATAAGGCCAATACCAGTATAAACAAAATTTAGAATCGAGACAAAGAAGTCATAGCTTTTATATTTTCCATAGGATTCAATAGAAGGTTGCAAATTCAGAAGTTAGTTTAAGTCTTGATAGTATTCTCGACTCATAGAGAATAGGTCAGAAAATATTAAGGCCTTAAGGTTTGGATTATTAAATGCAATTAGTTTATTAAAATTAATATTATAGTTAAATGATCCAGCCATTAATCTTGAATAATGAGCATCTTCATTATAGATTTCTTGTAGAAAAGAAATGTTGGGGATAACTAAATCGGGTGGTCTGAGTCTATTATCAGATATAGCACTACGGTATTTAGAGATAAAAGAGTTATCAACAGTGTTTGATTAGCAGGCTGGAGATAAAGGAATAGGAACGGAAGTAGTTAGAGAAAATCCGGTGATAGTAATATTTGATGCATATTCTCTGATGAGATGGTTTTCTTGTTTGAGCTATTCGGAAGCAGGGATCAATGAATCATGAAACCAATTTGGTGGTTCATGTACATTTAGGTAAGCTCTAATTAATCCTGAGTATAATTGAAGAGTTCTATAATTGTGGATTAGACCAATAATTTCATTAAAGTGGCAATAGTTAGTGTAGCAGTTTGTATCTGCAGCTCTACCTAGAGAGCAATTCATAAAAATAGGAGAAAGGTATTTTCTATAAACTATAGGAACTTCTTGAATTTGAGAAGAAATTTGAGATAGTACTAGTGAGTATTGTTAGGTTTTCTCATTCTTGCATCTACTACAAACAGCAACTTGAACAATGTTTTTATTGTTTAATCGAGTGTGTATGGGAATCGAGAAGGCTTGAGGCAAGGTATATGAAGCATTTTCATTATAAGATATCCATCGAGTTGAAGATAGTATCATAAGTATTGAGCAGTAGGTACAAGAAATTTTAGGATATTCAAGTAAAATTTTGATTTGAAATTAATGTATAAGAACTTGAAGAGCGGGAGTTAAGTATTGATACGAATAATTAATAGATTCGCTAGATATAAAAATGGCAGTTAAATTATTAGATGTAGAGGCACTTGAATTATTAGATATAGAGGCATTTGATAAGTTTTGATTTATTTTATTTCTACGAGTATAGGGATTAAAGATAATATCTGTAAGAGGAATAGCAGAAGCCTCATTGAATTGATGTAATGTTTCAGCAAAAGAGGAAAGTTGAAAGCATTGAATATTATAGTTAGACATAATAGGTTTGTTGAAAATTTAGAGGCAATAGACCTAGTGTATTATATAGATAAAGTAATGTATAAAGAGCTTTAAAGAAATTTTTTGAGTTTATGAAGTTTTTTTAACTTTATATAGCATTAATATAGAAATAGAACTGGTATAAGTTTCAGAGTAAGGATCTGAGAACGTATCGAATTAGTGATAAAATACAATAGATTGTGTTAAATATAATAATATCAAATTAAGCATTTAAATGATAAGTTTTTTTTTATTATATGATTAAAGATAACGAATTATATTGTTTAAATAATATAGATTTAGTTAGCAAGTATGGTATTTAAAATATATAGTTAACTTTTTCTATAACGAACTGAAGACTCTAGAAGAAAAAAAAGTTCATTATAGTATAATTACTATATTTTCCTAAAAACCTATACCACTTTTTACACTGAACTATTATGAAATTTCAAACTTTTAAGTTCGTTATATCCAGAGTTTGCTATAAAAAGATTCGTAATATCCAGAGTTGACTATATTTGATGATATTAAGAGAATATATTTAGTAAGAGTTAGCGATGCAGTACAAATAATATCTAAAGAATCAAATTCAATTTATATCACTATACGATCTTCTTTTTTGAAAGTACAGTTAGAGCGATTTAGATAAGAATACTTGAAGTATATATTAAATTTTTAATATTTTTGTTATATAACAATCTGAAAAAATTATATCAGTTGTAGTTATTTTTTTATTTATATTTATTTATATTTATTTTTTTTAAAAGAATTATGAAGGGTAATACATGGTAATAGGAATTTTATTTTTTTAAGGGTAAGAGAGGTCTTAAACCTTTTCTAGCTTGTTTAGCATTTTTATCTTGAGAAAGGAGAAGATTAATAGAAACATCCATAATAGAGTTATTATTATTAGTAGTAGCAGCATCAACACCTTTTCTAGTATCTGAAGAAGGAATAGTGCTATTATCAGTATCGGACGAATTATTTTGATTTATGTTTTCTGGTATAGAATCTATATCGTTAGATTCTGGAGGATGTTCATTGGTATGAACTTAAGAAACAACATTTATAAAATTAACAGAAATAGGGTTGTTACTTGATTTTCTAGCAGACATTGAATGTAAGGAAAGCTTTGGTTTTTTTTGTGAAGTTTGAGAGGATAAAGTAGCATATTTTTTCTTTAATACTATTCAGCTGGTTATCTAACACCTCGTGAGATCTTGATTTTTCTTTACCTGAAATACCCAAAGATTGTGATTCATTATTTAAGTAAGTCTACTCAATATCAAAGGTAACAATATGTGGGATCTTGAATAATCCGATTTTTAACCTTCTGATAACTAATAAAACAGTTTTTTGCAGATTATTTTTCATTGCATTGTACTGATTATTTTTATTTGTATAGGAGATGATAACATTTGAAGGAACATATTTATTATTAGTAACACTATTATATGAATGTCTCACAAGCATAAAACTTTTCTTCCCTTCTTCATTATCTGGACAGTAAGAACCTTGTACAATAGAAGCAGAAAAGAGAAACAAAGGTGATGAATACAGGAGATCAGTAGAAGTAAGAACATATTCATCATTAGAAAATGATATAAGTATAGTTTGTATTAAAGTGATTTGTACAAAGATAAAGATTAATCAGCTTATTGCAGAAGTTTATAACAGTCAAGAACCTAGAAATGAATTTATACATATTCTGTATTATCCTTATATACATATTATCTGACTACTAAAACAATAAAGTTTTTTTCAAGAGAGGATACTAAGGATTCGGGGTTACTAGTAAAGCCTTTAAACGTAATTTTCCTGAAAGCATCAACATCATTATTGATACGATATAAGCTGGTTCCAGAAACATATTTATCACTTCTGCTAATGGTTTTAACAAAACAAAATAATATAAAGATTGAGAATATGATAAGATATTTAGTATGAATAAGAGTTGTTGAGAAATATAGATAAGCAGCAAAGCTTGTTTGAATGATTTTTTTAAGTATTACTAATTATTCTAGTGAGTTTTACCCTTTTTATAGATACAGAAATATGTATAGATAATTATGAACAGATAAGGTTATATAAAAATACTTAATCGTATACAGTATAAGATAAATCGATAATAATATAAGATACCAATAAAGATATCATAAGAACAATGTGTTGGTAAGCATTTATTCTTTGATTTAGATACTTTTTCTTTAATTAGATATTACATGTTACTTTTTTTTTTTTAAAGGAATCTTATAATGCTATTATTATATTTAGCATGCTGTAAGAATAACAATAATCTTATTATACCATTGTGAGAATCAGATCGAGAACATGAATAGCTTTTATATTATTAGTAGATAACAGATTCTAGTTAGTAGCGCAAAAAAGGTATTGTAAAATGTGTGCCAATTGGTATTGACTAGATATCTAATATTTTCTGTTTATCATAGTAATCAAGATTAAACAGTACAGTTTCAAATATATAAATAATTTAGGAGATATTTGCTAAATTGCAATGAGCGATTGTATAAGACAAAAATTATAATGAAAGGCTTAGATAAAAAAAAAAAATATTTGGTAAATCATATAATCGTAGTAAACAATATTACAATCAAGGATTCATTACAAATTAGGAGAGAAAAATTAAACAAAAGTTATATCGATTTTATGTAATTAAATCTTTGATTTTTATCTTAGATAGCTTAAGATAACTGAACATTTTATTGAGGTACTGTAATTTTTTAGCAATATTGTATGATACAAAATAAATATGCACGCATATAGTATATCATCGATCGATATAAGTTTATTATTTCACGATTATTTGCAATTATTTTGTTTACCATATTAAGAGTGATAATTGTTAAGCAATAGTATATAAAACTGGTTTTTTACAAGTACCAAAAATAAATATATAAGATTATTAAATGTTTCTATATATAGTATCATTAAATTTTTGATAGACTAACAGACATATAGCGTAGCATTTAATTAAAGATCTTATCTAGATAAGAATAGATGAGATAATAGATATTGTTTTATTTATTTAGTTAGGTTTAATTATCGAATTTATTGTAATTTTATTTATTTTTTTGGTACTAGGAAAATTTGGTAGAAACGATCTCTATGAAGAATAGTAAATTAGTTAGTTATGTGTAAAGACCGAATACATGATATATAATTTCATTGAGTGGTCAGATTGTGTTTAGATGAAAACCAATAATATAAAATCTACATATTATTATATTGATTTGAAGAATAGAATGTATTTAATCATTAAGTGTAGAAAGAAATATTTTATAATAAATCATAAAGTTTTAAATATACAATTTATTTTTAAGATAAAGTTTTTATATGTCATCTATCTTGAATATTAAAAACTATAAAATATTTATCAATACAAAAGTTCAAATTATCTTATATATCTTAATAAAAAAAGTATGAGCAAAATATAAATCAGTAAATTTATATTTCACAAATATGATATAGCCTTTTGAGAGCAATAAAAATTCTGAAAAATCAATCTCATTAACAGATCAAATTTAGCGATAAATGATTGGCTCAGCGAAACACAAAATACTGTAATTCTTAGCGATTATCAATTCATCTAGACAGTAAAAAATCTAAAAGTAAAAAATTAAAAAATCTAAAAATAATCAAACCTTGTCTAGAAATCTATACTAAATCAATAATTTTTGTTAATAAATCAACACCAAAGGTATAAAATTTACCAAGTCTCATCAAATACTTTGTTTCCTGCATAAGCTTTACCAGAGCTCTACCAGAGTACTATAAGTTAAAGAGCAAGAGCACAATAATAGTCTGTATAAAACATGATACTAGAAGTAACTTTTTTTAGCTATTTTTTCACTATAAATAGCCATCAAATAGGAAAAAATGCAAATCCAGCAGATTTGTATTTTACAATTATGAACAAGTCTTTCTAGGGTGTTAATATGCAATAGGTCTGTATTATTTTACTGATGATCACTTCACCGACAGCTTATTTAGCAATATCACGCCAGGTGAAATTTAGTAAAAATATATATCTGCAACTAATTAAATGCTTAACTCTAACCCTATGTGATGTCGGCTAAATGAGCATTCAGTGAAATGATTGTTGGTAAATTGATCAGAACCGATATGCAATTATTTTTATAATAAAACTAGTGATAATAATATCAACTAATTGTTTTCTACTGCTTGCTATAAATATAAAATAATTGAACAAAGTGATAGTGACCATTATTGCGAAATCAAATAACTTTGTATATAGTTCTTATTACATCTTGTTTGATGCAGGTATTTTCTGTGATAATATATGATTATTGAATATATGAGTTACTATTATATCTTTATTTAGTAAAAAAAGCTATCTTTCTTTTCACTATCACTTGGCTTGCAGTGAAGACTAGCTCTATCATCCCGTACTACCCACCTTTTGCTTAATAACTCATAAATTGAGAAGATACAAAGATTATATATATGATTATTAGATGCTACAACTATAATAGTAGTGCAAGGCCTTTATGTTAGTGATTAGGTTTATTGCTTCGAAAGTAAAGGTCTAATATTTGGTAATTGAACTTTATAATAGTAGTACAAGAACCTCACATTGTTGATTAGGCATCGTAGCTACAACAATAGTACAAGTTCCATATTTGATATTAGGCAAGAACCTTGTGTTTGAAGATTAGACTCCGTAGCTACAATAGCAATGCAAGAATATCATATTATACTACAATAGTAGTAAAAGGATTTCATATTTGATGATAATATGAGAACTTCATATATGATTAAGTACTACAGCTATAATAATAGTGAAGATCTCATATTTGATGATTAGACTCTATAGCTACAATAATAATACAAGGACCTTATATTGTGTTTAGATACCATAGCTACAATATTACAATGTTTGTCAAATTACTTGCAAAGTATTTGCTCTAAATACTTGGTAAATACTTATTGGGCCTAATCAAATCTAGAGTTGTCTTTAGTTCAACTTTCTGATAAATAATAGTACGAGAACCTCACATTGGTGATTAAAATATGCAGCTACAATAGCAGTGCAAGAACTTCAAGCTAATGATTAGACAAGGATTTTAAGTTGATAATTAGACTTCGTAGCTACAATAGCAATGCAAGGATCTTATATTGTAATTAGGCTTTACAGCTACAGTAGCAGTGCAAGGATCTTATGTTGATGATTAGACTTTGTAGTTAAAATAGCAATATAAGGACCTCATATTGTAATTAGACTTTATAGCTACAGTAATAGTACAAGAGCCTCAAGTTGATGATTAGACTTCATGGTTATGATAGTAATGCAAGATCCTTATATTGTAATTAGACTCTGCAACTACAGTAGTAATGCAAGAACCTTATTTTGATAATCAGACTTTGTAGCTATGATAGTAGTAGACTTTGCGGTTATAGTAGTAGTACAAGAATCTCATGTTTAATAATTAGACTTTATAGCTGCAAAGATCTTATATTATAATTAGACTTTGTAACTACAGTAGTAGTACAAAAATCTTATATTCAATAATTAGGCTCTGCAGCTATGATAGCAGTACAAGAACCTTATATTGTAATTAAACAAAAATCTATAATAAGTAGCAATACCCATATTGCTACATAATACTAGTAACCAATTCTCACTACAGCTATATTATTTTTTCTTGATTATATTTCTATATAAGATGCAATAGATTATAAGGTAAATGGTTAGCTTCAGCTAAGAATATTTTCTTAGATTTTAGATATTCTAATATGTATAGTTTACAAATTTTACTGTATTCAATATTTTTATATAAAATTAATTATAGTATAATAATTAAGATAATAGCTATATGAATATATATCATATGAGCTGATTTGTGAAATTAGCTAATAACTTTTAATCTATAGGTCTATTTTTGATAATTCAACTATTAAAATATTTGTCTCAATAAGATGATTCTAATGAGTTTAAGTTTGTCAAAATCAAATCACAAGATCTCAAAATCATTCAAATTTTGTATCATTTTAATAAGAAATTTAAAATTATATCAAAAATAGCTTTTATAGTGAATAACTTTTGATCTACTAGTCTGTTTTGTATTATTTAACTACTAAAATATTCATCTTAATAAGATGATTCTAATGAATATAAAATTATCAAAATCTAATCACAGAATCTCAAGATTGTTAAAAATCAGTATATGCGTAAACTATCGATAAAGAAATTGATTACATATATAAATTTATATATGCAACTAATTTCTTCGTTAATAGTCTACACATACACTGATTTTTAATAATCTTAGAATCCTGTAATTAGATTTTGATAATTTTATATTTATTAGAATCATCTTATTAAGATAAATGTTTTAGTAATTAAATCATCTAAAACAGATCAGTAGATCAAAAGTTATTCACTATAAAAGCTATTTATAATGCAATTTTAAAATTCTTATTAAAATTATACA